ACTTACAGCTGGTGGTACCTTTCCACACAAATATAGTCCTGTATAATCCTTGGGGACTGAGCCATGTGTCTCCAAATGGTGTTTGTACTTTAGCACTCCTTCATCACACAGTGATTTCCCAGAATTCCCATTACTTTTTCAATGGCAGAAGTTTCCTCTCTTCAAGCAGGAGCAGTCCTATTCTTTACATTCTGTTTCTTCATATACTCAAATTACTGTACACCATACTCACCTCACTTTATTCAAAGAAAAGGAGATCTGCAAATAACCAGTATTTACTATTTGCCTTTCTTTGCTCATTCAAGATTGAGTCCATATTTCATACATTAAATTTTCTACTATTTCAATAGTGAATATTAAGTAATGCACATCTGATTGCAATCCAAACATTGTCAGTGCATAACCTTTCTAATTTTCCACTTCTTTTCCTTAATTCATTAAACTTAAAAGCCACTTCACTCTCTGTGGGGCTCCTGCATATCCATTCTAAGTTCCTCCAGGTAGCACATGTAGTGTCAGGGGAAGCACAGTCTGCACCACAGCTTCCCTGCCCTCTGCTCCCTGTGTCCATGATCCCCACCAGAGATCAGTGTTCCCACTCCCACGGTGTGACAGCTGCTTCTGGCAGCGCCAGTTTTTCATCTGCAGCCACCTGCAATTTCTCCCATTTTGCACACATGGTTTAGCAGAAGAGAACTGGTCTAAGTCTTGGTACAAAGAAACTTGGGGAGAGATAGGAAATGTCTCTTCCATGTATATTGGTATATCCACACCAAAGTGATTTGGACTGAACCAACAGCCTCCCCTTCAGTAACATGGGCTGAGATCTCTGGGCTAAATTCTGCATTGACAAATCCAACCACACCTTGCTCTTCCTGTAATGCTCTTTTCAAAGACCAGGAGACTCCTCGAGGAAGCTGAATGAGCCAATCCACAATTCTGCCTCTAACTACAGCCTTGAAGCTGCTTAAGCTTTTTTTCCACTGCCAAGTAACCACAGAGATGGAGGTTTTATTATCTAGCCTTTTGTATCACATGCATTTCATCACAGATGCTGAACACAGGCTTTTTGCAGCACACACCACTCTGTACTACTTCTCTTCTGTTCTTCCACTTCCATTCTCTTCCTGTTCCTTTAATAATTCAACCTCTGCTTTCCACCTTTTCTTACCCTACAGAGACTAATTTTCCTTTTCCTAATTGTAATAGATTAAGTTAAATTGGTTGCAGCTCACCTCAAGGCCCATCCTGCAGCAACCTTAACATTGCCTTAGATGTACTGCTCCCCTGACAGATTGCAAATGCCTTTTCAGCCTTTGTCAATGCATCCTCAGCCATGAAAGCTTCCTGCTCCCACACCAGAATATCTTTCAGATGACCTACATCACTGTATTTTCCTCTGGATAAGGAGAAATCTTTCCCTTTTCTCCTCACCTGGTAAGCAGTCAGCCCCAGTGGATTACCGAGTACCTTGAATGCCCAGTTACCAAACCTGAACGTTATGTGTTTGTTTTCAGTTTCTGATTTTATTCTGCTTTTCTGCTTCAGTTGTGGTTTTCATGACAAAAGACTCGGTTCATCTGCACTCCACAATTTTGAAACTCTTCCTCTGAGCTGTTTCATTCAGGCAACTTTGGCCAATTGCAAATAGACTCCACAAGCAGGATATGATGTCCCTGCTCATGGCAGGAGCACTGGACTAGATGATCATTAAAGGTCCCTCTCAACCCAAATTATTCTATGATTCTGTGATATATTCAACTCCAAAACGGTAACTCATGGATTGGTTTAGATGCATGAACAAACCACTGAAACTAAGAGAGATATGAAGCATAGCACACATACAACACTCAGAGCATCTCTAACCAGCAAGATGGTTTGGCAGGGAATTTCTACAGCTCCCTGAAATGGACCTTCAGGGCTCACAAGCTGCCACCTTCCAACTCTATATTCACAGTCAGAAATGTATACTTGTAGGTGTTTTTCAGCCTGAATCCTAGAGCCGCTGTCTCAAGAAAACAATCCTAGCTTTTATTATCCTGCCCAGCTTTATTACAGACGTTTTCCACAGCTCCCACAACTTTTCCTTAGGAATCTGAGGCAAGATACTCACAGCTGTGAAGCCAAGACCCAGACCATGAGTCCTGACACTTATCCCTGGATCAGGGAAGGTTCTACTCCTGCAACCTGACTGAGCAGGACTACAGTGGAGCCCCAGAAACTCCTCTGATCTTTATCCCATGCTTCTGCAGAGCTCAGATGAACATGTGTGAACATCCTCTGTCATCTGAGGGAGAAGAAAAATATACTAAAATTGATCAGTACAGTTCTGAAGGAACCACAGAAAAAACTCACTGTTTCCACAGATTAATACACAGTCAGCCTCAAATGGGAGGACTATTAGTGAGAGTTAAATATTGTCACATGCTATTGCCTGTATTTTCAATGCACCAATAAACCCTACTTGATCAGCAAAGCTTCATGGGCATACTCTGATTCTTCCAAACAGGTTCTCCTGGCTGCCTAGAGAAGCACTTGAGCAGAGACATGCTTAAAAGTTTTATCTGCAGTGACAGAAATGCAGAGAGGGAAGTAACTCACAGATTAAAGGCCTCTCCCCAGAGGAACACTCTGTTCCTTGCACATGTACTGTACTCAGCACACTTCCCTTTCCTCATCCCATAACATCTCCTCACCCACACTGAGAGACTGCTAAAAATCATTACACAAATAAGAGAAGGCATATGAGTGCACTTTAGGGCACTTGTTTTATAAAATTACTCCCCAAAATCCCTTCCATTAGGAAAACAGCACTGCCAAGTCAAGCGTCCAGAACCAAAAAGAAACCACAATTAAATTTTTCTGTGCAAACTTAAATCGCTCCCTCCTCACTCTGTGCTGTCAGGGCTGGCAAACAGGCCATACCACAGCCTTCAGCAAGCTGACCAACATCTTCCTCAAGCCAGCCCAGGGCACAGCTCTTGTGATTTTTGCAACAAGACTGGCTAGGCTGACTTATTACAGCAGATAGGGATGTACCTACATACAGGAGTTGGTTATGAATGGCTTGTCAAGGTATGATTGAAACAGGAATCTAAACAAACAAAAAAAGAGTTTAAGATATTCCCAAGTGATGATAAGGTAATTTCTCATAGACAGTGCATGACTGTGCCTCAGTTGTTCTCTGAGACAAAGGCACATCCCTTCAGAACAGCATCAGTGCCCTGTTTCATACTCCTCTCTCCCAAGGGGGGCCACAAGGATGTAAGTCTGGAATAGTCCTGCGCTTGAGAATGTTGAGAGCTAAACCTTGCAGTCTTCTCCCAAGCTCTGTTACATTCTTTCATCTTTGGAGCAAAAGTGTATCACAAAAAACAAAACATGATTCTTGTTTACTGAAGGATTAGAACTACTCATCCACCTGATGTGTGTTTAAGGACTGCTATATCAGTTGGGTTTTTTTCTTCTCAACACAGCTTTAATTATTTCAGACTTGTTAAATGGGCCACGGCTATAAAACATCTGCACTCTTGGTTATGTTCCTTGCCACTTTCTTAGTTCAGTGGGATGGCACAGAACTTTGGAGATAAATTATGCCACATACATTTTCCATGACCCACAAAACCTCACCAGCAAACAACACACAGAGCTCTGTCAGAGGCTCACTCACCACATCTAACCAGGAAATCTGACAAAGGAAAACCCAAAGCTGTTTTACCTTTCCTCACAATTACCAGAAAATCCTGCCTTAGCTGTATGGGGGGCACACACTCATCACATTCCACACACTCATCACATTCCATGAACAGAGCTCACTACAGGATGCGCAGTGACAGACACCCCACTGAAAAGGGTTCACTCCTCCTCCCAGACCCCAGCAAGGCCAAGCATGAAGCACAGCTCAGATAAGAAATTAGAGAGAACACACATCTTTCCATGGACACAATCCAAAGTGAAGCAGAGACAAGCACTTCCTATCAGTTTTCTTTAGATACCCAGCTGCTCACACTTTTGAGCAGGCCCTGCTGTTTCCAGGGCCCAGCTGTACATCACATGTGCACAGCTTCAAACTTCATTTTCAGCTTATATTGAAAACCAGCTCCCTTTCCACAGCACCCTCAGAATGCAAATGAGTTATGCATTTTGTGCTGAACAAAACCATTACAGCTCAGCACATCTATTGAAGCACTGATACGGTTCAGAAAGCCTCAGATCCCCTCTCTTTGGCATTACCTTTAAAATCAGGTAATTAAACCACAAAAAAAAAGCATGATGTTCAGACAGCAAGAAATAGGAAGTCCACAAAAATAATTTCAAAGTTTAGATAGAAGGACAGTTCAGGAACCAAGGAATTATGAGACTGACCTCAAGGCACTCACAGAATCCTTCACGTGAACTAAGAAGTCAATACCCCTTATGGGTGCTCAATTGTGGTCAACATTCAAGTTTTTATCTATTACCTTTTGTGCCTGATAAAGCAGATTAACCATTTAGGCAAAGCTTTAACTCCTCATTTCTTTGCTTAAAAAGGGGCTCCCCCCCTGCCCTACCTCTTTACAAATAAAATATTTACAATACTAGGGAAAAATCAAACAGTTGAACAATTGGTTAATTGGTTAGTTCCCAATAACAGCATTGTCATTCAAAAACTAATTCAGCTAAAAAAACTCCAATAAATATCAGATTTATTCCTGGCCACTGACTCAGTTTTTATCACAACAGTGTACTGTAAAAGCAAACAAAGGAACTTGGCCATTCCGATTCATACAAACAATTTGACAGAAACAAAGAGGAAAAAAATTACTATGATGCCACTTCTCACAAAACTACTACAGCAAATTTTATCTGTGTGTCTGTTAGGAAATGGTGTGTATGTTTAGGTTGATAATTTAATTTATACATAAGATATCCTAGAAAATCCAACCAAATTCAAGCATCAGCTGTACCAATGATACAAATAAAATTCCAATAATCATCAAGTGGAAGACAGAAACAAAATGTAAAGGAAATAAACTTTATTTAGTGTCACCTTGAAAATTATTCATCCAACAAATAAAAATGCACCACAAAGCATGAAATCATAACCATTGCCACCAAAGAAAATGTATCATTCCCCTTTGGCTGAAACTAAAAATTTCAGAACACTGCAAAACAGCTTATGACACTTTAGACAGTCATGCCTTTGATGATGAACAGGGTTAAACCAAAGGGAAACATAGTCAAGATCAATCTTAGCTTTATCCCTGAGTTTGAGAGTTTGCTGCTTTAGCTATAAAGCAATTAACAGCTCTGACATTAAGGATCTCATTCATAAATAAGAAACCAGCAGACAGTTTCATAGGTCTCTACTTCCTGTCTCTCCTTGCAGTTTCCTGCCACATAAAACATTAAAAACAAAATATCCTGCATCACAAACATCAGTCAACCATCACTGAGCAGCTTACAGATGATGTTTACATGAAGAACGTTCCTTAATTTGCTAATGAGCAGTCATTAAGTCACCTTAAATGTCTTCCTGATTCATGTAAAATTGCTTTTGAGACATGAGATTTGTCAATATGAAAAATGACAAATCATATTTCCAATGAAATAACACAAATTGGTTGACTTTAATTCACTGCATTTATATTAAGTAATATTTATGAGACTACACAGGTCACTGTTTAAAGGAGATCTCACATCACCCTACTTATGAGATTACAAGTAGCAGAACTAATATCAGTGTACAGCTGAGGCTGTAAGAGCAGAATGATTTCAAGTTTCAATTTGTATGAGAAGTTCTTCCATCTCCAAAGCACTTCAGGTGCAGGGCTGTACAAAATTTCTCATTCCAAGGAGTTATAAAAATTCACTGTACAGATTGAGATATTGCTACAGTGGGATCCCAAAGACACAAAGAAAAAGACAGACCTTAACACACAGTCCATTGGTTCAATTGTCTTGATTTTTTTATACTATAAACAAGTAAAGCAACTGTTGTAGGCTTTGGCCATTCATAATAAAGAAGTTTCAACCCTCTGCAATATTTGAAGCTGTACTTCATAACTAACTCCATACCTGACAGAAAAGAGAAAAAAAAGCAGTAGGATCACTCAGAAGAGAGAAATTTAAAAGACAAAGAACTACTGAATTGAATTAAGAAGACAGAATAATGTACAGTTTGTTTAGCTTTGACAGATTTCAAAACAGCATAAGAAGAATCAGCAAGTCTGTATCTACTCCTTCCAGCCAGGCAATGGAGACAAGTGCCTTTTGCTAGGCAAGGCCACCCCTTTCCCTTCACTATCACGTTTTGGCTTCTCTATGATAATTTTTCAATCACCAAATTCTCATATAAAGTATCTCTGGCAATGTTTTCCAAGTGAGAATTACCAGAGCTTAGAAAATATTTCTGACTACAAAATGAAGGCCCTGACACTGGAAAACATTTCATCCTGGGCACTGAGGTTACCAGAATGAGTTCCACAATACCATTGCTGTGAGGATTTTCTTTTAAACAGTCTGAGGATCTGCAGAGTTGCTACATAATTAAACTAAAAGCTTTCAACTGCACACATTTGTCATTCCTTGACATTTTTTGGTCCATTCAAACACTGCAAAGGGAACACTGATCATTATAAACCTGCCACTTGTACATTCTGAAACTGCCCAGTTCAGCTCTTAGATCAGCAATACAATACACGGTTACACCTAAACCAGCAGCCTTACATGGAATTTTTGAACTTCTGAACATCCAAATTTCCAACAATTCAAAAAAAAAAAAGCCAAAAACAATCCAGAGGTTGAGATTGAACAAGAAACAAGATATGAGGAAAACATTTGAACAAAAGGAAGTATTTACTATCCAATAAAGAAATCTTCAATATGCATAATTCCCTGTAAAAAATCTTATTAAATATATTTAGCACTCAATTGCACAGACAAAATAATTTTTGTTGAGACAAGTTTGTTCATACCGGCATTTAAAATCTCAGACAAACCCAAAAAACAATGGAATGAAAGTAAGAAATTTATTGAGTAATCTTATGAACTGCACCATTAGTGATTGTACTCAACACCTTCTGCAGACAATGCCCAAAACCTCTTCCAGCTAAGGCTTCAGAGTATTTCTGACAAGTTAATCAATGCCCTCAGACATGAAAGATCTGCTGAATGAAATAATCTCACAGAGCCAGCAGGAACACATGCTGTGTATTCCATTAATTTACTTGTAAACGTCAGGATTTTCTGTTCCTCACTTTGCACTTCAAAGAGTGACAGCTCAATCCCTCTGCACCACACCGTGTTCTGCTCCACAACACTCACACTGGTGTTGGTCCTTGCTCTAGGGTTCTCCTCAAGCTTTTGGGTATTTTTATAGCATTTATTGTTGTGGTTGGTTCAGGAGGATTTTTCCCTGATCATTTTCTCTCCAGTTAAGCAGCACCCATGACAAATAAGAGCCTTCTAAATCACATCACGCCTTCCCACACTGCCCAGTGGCAACAAGGGGAGCTCTCTACATGCAGTCTGTCAAACAGGTTATGTCAGAGGGTGCAGCTTAGATCTTCAGAGGCTGTTTGAAGAAAAGCTTAGAAAAGAATGGTGCATGAAGAGAAAATTATTCACTTCTCTTTTGCTGTAGTGGCCAATTCAGAAGACAAAATAATATTCAAGTGGCAATTATCATAATTGCCACTCCCTTATCAACGGTCCCAAACACACATGGAAACCTTTTTTCCATACAGATCTTATGGAAAAAACACAGCCCTTTACTGCAAGCACATACAAGAACTGTTCTGCACAGGAGCAGGTCATGTTCCTTTCTTCAAATAGCGGGAGAGGAACTGGCTCCTGACAAAGTGGATGAGCTTGGTCTCTGTGCAGAACATCACAACGAGGGTTGCTGCAAGGCACAGGGCACCCGTGCTGATGTGGATCAGCCTGGCCATCCAGCCCTTGTCACAGCAGAACAACACCTACAACAAAGAAAACAAGGGATTGCAGGAAAACCAGTCAGCACAAAGTGAATTTACTGTCCCAACAAGAAATAAGGTCCAACACCTCTGTCCAACACACCAATGTCACATCAAGTGAAGCGTGGTTTTGCACATGCACTGACCCTACAATAAATCACCTTCAGGACTCACAACATTTGCTTTCTTAAGTTCTGTCAGCAAAACATAACCATTCAGTAGATATCTGGTAAATGAGGAAGCTGCTGTTATCTGGCATGCAGAAATGTGTAAATTGGAATGACACAAAACTTCACTGGTGCTATCAGGAAAGTCTGCTACTGTACAGCAACATGTCAGGCTATTTTCTAACAAAACTGGAAATATCCCACTCCAAAATGTAAAATTCTCCTTTCTCAGGCATAATGGATTTTCAAACTGTCAAATTTTTGTACATTGGAAAGCTCCAGTCCCCTTAATAATCAGCCTGAATAATTACCATCTTGTACTGAATAAATGTGTTAAACATGCTTTCAGCAATTTTTGGTTTTCTTCTCATTTTGATTATTACCTGTTTTTACTATAGAATTTTTAATGTCAGTTTCTTGGTGCAACTGCAACATTTCCATTATTAATAACTAAGAACATGAATTAACTATACATAGCAGAAATGTGTTAAATTTTATTTTACTTGTCAGATCCACCTTGTACAGGTGACAGAGAACACTGATACAAAGAATGTCTTATCAGTATATCCTGCCTTTCTGTAATGCAAATCTCTAAGCCTACCCTCAAAAGTCTTTTTACCTAATGGCATTCCTCTTTTTGTGGACACTAAAACCTGGCAGCAGTATGGCAGTGAGAGCAGAAAGAGCTCACCTCTGAGAAAGCAGTGACCACTGCACTGATGATGTAAACCAGCAGCAGAGCTGGTGAGGGCAGCAGGCCTGTCAGGGGTCTGTGGGTGCTCTCTCTGAAGTAGTGATAGATGTAGTGGGTGCTGTGAGCTATTCTGATGCCCATGTTGAAGCAGTTGGCAAGGATAAAGCCCACACTGCCATACCAGTGGGTCAGGAAATAAGAGATGCACAGAAATATGAAAGACAACGCCAGCATAACAAAATTGTACCTAGGGAAAAGAGAAAAAAATAACTAATTTAACAATGCATGCAGTTACAGCATTCATTTACTAATGACCTTTTATTTTCTAACATGAGTAACAGAATTTCTCTTACCATCTTCTAATGAAAATAAATTTGAGAAATGTGATGATAAAAAAATCATTTGAAAGAAAATGCATCAACCAAATTAAACCAAGAACTACATTTTGTGAACAAAATTCTATTACACTAATCAGCTGTGCAGCCATTGCAGAAAATCAAATTTAATAACAATTATTAGTAATGTAAGAACTTGTGCATTTTTTGCTATTTTATGTTGAATGCTCAAGAACAAATCAACACTTTCTTTCATTTCTGTTATAGTGACTTGGAAAACTAGTGCACATTTTAAAGGGGCTGTGAAAGCAGCCCTTGCTAAGTCAAAAAAGCTCCCACTTTCATTGTGGAAAATAGACCTCACTGAAATTAATTTGAAAGGGCCACATGAGGGACAGCCTAAACACAAAACCAGGAAACAATCCAGGCTGGAAGGGCTCTCAGGAGGTCACCCAGTGCAACCTCCTATGAAGTAGTAAACCACGGGATTCACACCCACAGCCTGGATCATTCCTAAGTGTATGTCCAGTACCTGTACATGAAAAATGTTAATAGATGCAAACTTTCAATACATCAAGTGATTGTCTTAGAAAGTGTAACTTCAAGCTCATCTGTGCAGAAAACACACATTCAAATTACTTTACCAGTTAGTGATGTGCCAAAAGCTAAATTAACAATTTCTTAGTTTCTTACCTTTTTACCCAAACCTTCAACTTTTGCTAAAGCTTCTACATCTAAATCTAAATGTGGACAACCTAGCAAGGAGTTGCTTTTCTGTGGGGCATGATATTATCTGTGCCAATTTCAAAAGCACCAATTCCTTTTTAAGGTCAGCACAAATAAATTTACAGGAACATTTTGGAGACACTGTTTCCTACCTGTCCACTTCTTCTTTGCACATTAAGGCAAATGTAAAACATTCTGTTACTCCATTGACAGCAAGAAACAGGACATACAACGAGTAACACCGGAGGAGATCTGGACCTGAAAAACACATTAGAAAGACAAACAGTTAATGATTTATTTTATCAAACCACTTTGTTTTTACAGGCACTGATACTAAGAGATAGAAGTTGCAATGTTAATACTAATAATGGAAGCTTAAGTTCATTTGAACAAGTTTCCTGTCTAGATATCTTGACAAGAAAACAAACAAGGTGAAGGATTCTGATGAGCTAAATCACAGATTTCAATAGCTGTTTCACAGGAAAAAAACCCAAACTGTGATTTACAAAAAAAATCATAATAACTGTAGGGGTTTTTTTCCTGAAGAGTGGTGTTTTTTAACCAGGTCTATAAATCTTTACCTGTTCCAGAACTGAGCATTGAGCCTCCATAAATATCCAGAGCCAGCTGAGAATAGGCATAGCCAAAAACAGTGATGGTGAAGCCAATCAGGAGCACAAGTTTCAGCAGCAATTCCAATACATTTGCAGCCATAGCAACGTCATCCTGAAAAAAAACATAGTAAATCACATGAACCAAAATCAATGTAATAATAGCCACTCTGGTGCAGAAATGCTACTTCAGAGAAACAAATCAGTTTGCATTGTGTAAAAAGGTGTGAAATGTATCTTTTGTTATTGAATTATTCACACACAATGTCTTGGCAACGTTTTTTACATATTTATTATTCCACCATTTTTATAGTTCTACACACCAGGTAGGTTTTATATAAAATATATACACAGACACCTCCCTTAACCCACCAAGGACCTACAGGATTTAATTGTGTGTTGATGTGCAATTAGCAGGACTGTTACAGGCTGACCTTCATGAGTGATCAAGACTATTACTCTGTGGAACAAAGCTCTTATTCATTAATCCTCCTCATATAACTCAAACATACATGAAAAATCCAGTTCTTTTCCACCCAAAGCTGCACTCTTCAGAAACATTATTTAACACTATGCTGATATGTTTAAGTAAATAAAGTACTTCCAGATAGTATTTATTTAATAGATTTCATGATTTAAATAATGGCTTGCTATATCTGGAAACACACAGTAGAGTAGGCTTTCCATCACACTGTTTGGAGCAGCTGATGTTAACTTTATTGATGCAAGGCAGCACTATGCCACTGCATATATTAATTTCTATTTCATTACCATTTTACCTATTCTCTTTTCTTTTTGGTCCAGCCTCACTCAACATTTTTGTTCTCCACTTTTCAATTTTAACAGCCTTTATACTGAAATTTCAACACACATTTCTGTCCATCACACTTCTGTGATGCAACTTACCTGCAAAAAAAAAGAAAATAAATCAAGCATTTGACATGTAATTAATCCGAGATAAACATACCTGCTTCTGATCCTTTACAGTCTTCCCTCTTTCCAACACTTTAGCAAAAAATACATAAAAGCTCTCCTCAATAGGTGAAAAGATAAACCTGGCCACCAGTGAACCAAGGTTATTCACAATATCATATACACCTTAAAAAAAAAAAGAAATCTCAGAGTTTTAGACATATTTTAATATGAAGTCTCTAATAACAACACGAATTCTAACTTAACATCTCCAAAAAAAGAGAAAACAAATGGTATTTAGTACAACATTAAAGCAGTATTCTGCAAAAATTCCGACAGTCAAGCAACTACAGCTTAAAATTACAAGGTTTGCCCACAGCAAAGGTAAGACAAAATCTAGAACAGTACCAAACCACACTTAAAATTCTTGCTGTAGAAGAATATAGAGGATCCTGATAAAGTTCACTGAATGAGAACAGGAATGTAAAGATTTACTGATACAGGAGAAGGGAAAAATATACATCTAGTGAATGTCCCATCCCATGGCAGGGGGGTTGGAACTAGATCATTTTGAAGGTCATTTCCAACCCAGGCTATTCTATAATTCTATTATCTTAAATTAAAGTTCCCTGAAATGCATCTCAAAGGCTTTGAAACATTCTCAGATTTTCAAACTGTCTTCAAACACTTTTAGTCATTTTCAGAACCACATGAAGAGCAGTGACTAAAAAACCTCTGTCACCATTCCACAACACCATCACACTTACCCTGATCTCCAAAATTTAAGACGTTCAAAAAAGTCATCACATATCGTTCACCTGTAATTTCAAAATAAAAAACTTCAGAACGAGCCCCAAAATCTTTCCCAATATTTGTTCAGATGCTTCCAATACTAAGTACTCAAGAGACAAAGTCAAATGGGACAGCACCTAATTCTGAAAACCCTCAAAAACTCCATTCAAGTTGCCTCATCTTCCCCCACCCAAGTTTTCTGAAGCTTTTAAGTCAATTTTGTAAACAGTTTTCATGAGCCCTCTTCCCTCACACTTCTATGTCAAGCCTCACCCTCCGTCAAAATCTGTTTCAAGAAGGATTGTTTGAAGAAACTCCAAGTCAAGCGTGCTTCCTTCAAGTTAACAAAGGTCTGCAGAAAAAAGTATGAAATGTAACAAATGTGATTGAAATTACAGAGTAGAAATGGAAAACAGCAAGGCAATGCAACACTGTAGGGCAGCTCTAACTGCAGTGGTGAGGAAACCCACAATGCCACAGATACTAACCACTAATGTAAAGTATTGCTGAATTCAAGCACCAACATCACTGATCTGGCAAAAACTGATTCCCGTGTTGAAAAGCAATGTTTCTGCAGACAAAGTACCCACATAAGAGCATTTTACAGAAAATACTAATCAAGTTTAGAGTTAGGAAAGAAACGTCCAGGGTGTTTAACATGACAATACAACCTTCATCCTCACTGGAGATGTGAATTGTTTACTGCTCTTCAAACTGCCCTTATAAGACTTGCAACCAAGAACCACCTTTATATTTTCCATCTGTAAATCTTATCCACAGTGTTGTCTTCCTTAATGAGTCTTTTCATTTCCTTCTTTGCCTCATTTTTGTTTGAGCAATATTTGAGTGTCTCTAGGATGCTGTGGAACATTCATGGTTATTTTGTGAAGAGATCAAAATACCAAAATCCACTGTTACATGGAAAAGAAACCAGTTTCTTTTCTCTCTCAGATCCAGTGATAGCTGGTCATTCCTCTGCACAGTGCAGATGGTCTACCTCCAGTTAATGTCTATTAATATTTTGCACAACCCAAGTCAGCAACAACAAACAAATAACCTCAAAGAATTCAAGTTTCATGATGTTTTTCTGACAAGAATTTTACCAATACAAACTTCAGGCACAATTTCTATGTAGTATTTTTTTACTTAATATATCATATCTTCTATAGTGCAAAAATAACCTCCAAACAACTCATTTAACTCCCCAGTCTAAAAGCAACATACAAAGTACCCTCATGTGAGATTTTAAGAAGAAAATCAAGAAATAAATTGCACAACTTACCTCATCTTCCACGAAGCTAGGTAATAGAGCTTTCACTCTAGCAACTGGAAATGACTTCTTTGTGGCTTCAGGAGATCCCAAAAACACCACAAAATAAATTACATAGCACATTACCAGAACACTGACGTATAAAAGCTGGGAAGATCAGGAAGGAGAGAAGAAAAACAGTGAAACAAAATTAACTTAGAAATGCAGAATTATATACTATGTGAAAATACAGTGAGAAGAAAATGTAAGTAGTCTCTGTGCCTACCAAATATTAAACTAGGTAAGGATTTGAACAGCTCTTAAGAATGCTGTTGATCTTTTCATCTTTTTGTAACCTGTAGGTTATCATAGACCTTTGCTAATTTTCATGTTGTATTCAGCGTTTTTAGATCATTGAAGGTCCAATTATAAAGCAATTACTCAATCAAAAATCAAGCTGACAGCTACTGCCTACATCTCTTACTTCACAGAACTTCATAGAACATTTCCAATTTCCATCAGTTATAAGAGATCTACAACAGCCAGGGCAAAAACTAAAGGAAAAAAATTATCCCTCCTTCACTGTCATCGAGAAAAAGTTTTAACCTGAATTAATTGCATTTGATTAGCACCTTCTGATAAGGTAATGCAGGTTGGTGGTACAGGCTGATAAAGTTTGGTGTGATTAGAATAACATAACCTTATTTGCAAGATGTGCCTTCACAGATGGAAGGTGTTTCCTTGTACTTCCCTTTAACTCTGTGTCAAAGCACCAAGTCAATAATGAGTATAAGGAAAATACCAAACAATAATTCTAAATCTTAAACCTCCCAGGAACTTTTTCTCTCAGTTCCCCAAAATTCTTCACAGCAGGCTAAATGTCAAAGTAAAACTAAAATTCAGCTGAGAACAAAGGGAACTTACCTGAGCCAAGGAAAAAATGTAAAGGCCCCAGTGAGGATAAAGGATTACTAAAGTAACCGTCAAAATGCATTTTGACACTACTGAAAGGCTTTCAGCAATTACCTTCAAGAAATAAAACAGAGAAGGGTTATTTTCTGGCAACCTAACCATGTGCACAAGCTTAAAATATATACATTTAATGCACAAAATTCATGTAGGAATGCAAGATTTTCAAAGTCAGTGTGACTTTATTGCAGTTTCCACTGAGCTGGCCAGTTTAGATTGTAATTTTTCTGTAAGTTTTCTATTCTAGCATTCCACAGTTCCTCCTTTGCATTTTCCCAGTCCTTTGTACTGGACATAAGAGAGAAAATTTGGCTTGGGACTGTCATGTTCTCAATAGACACATTTCACAATTTTATGTAGAACTGTGAAAGCAGTGTGTCTCTCTAGTTTATTATGTTGGTAATAAACTAACTTGCTTGGTTAATGGGTACAGATTACTGGATATGCTACAAACAGGCCATGCAGTGCTAAACAGTACACACAGGGGGTTTATGTGCTCGAATATACAAAGATCCAAGTCAGTAATCTGTTCTTTTCAGTAAAGATTCCCCCCACATGCACACACCCCATGGACTTTACTAACCTTAAGTCTCACAAACAAATGAACTTGTGCTAAAACCCAGAATGGTTCTCCCAGGAGTTCAATAATGGCAGAAAGACCAAATGCCACTACACCAGCCTGATAGTGAGGAACCACAGAAGGGTCGGGTACTTCAAGCAAGTGTAGCCAGACTAAGCCCAAGATAAGAGACCAAAAGACACCAAGAGGGACTCTAAAAAGTTAACATAAAAACTAATTAATGGAAACGTTACTTCAGCAGGAAAAAAAAAACAAACACAAAACAAAAATTGAAAACCAAAACAACACAAAGAAAATTAGATTATAATATCACATATGGCCACAATGATTACACAAAAAAAGGCCCTGAGGAATTAATTCCCGTTGTTACCACACCAAGAATGAATATTTTCCTCTGTAATGAACACCCTTAAGGCACTCTCTGCAAGATGCAGAAAACATTTTTCTAAGTTGTCCATTTTCTACTTCAGCGACATAAGTTTAAATATCTGCATTTTTGTGCCTTAGGACCAAACAGCTCTGATCCCACATCAGCCTGTACATCCTGTTCTGCTGACACTGCTTCAGAAACACAGAGCCTCTGGCACAGTCTAACTAGTTTTAAATCATTGGAGCAAGATCTCTTTGACCCTCGCACTATCAGACCCCTAAGATATTTGGCATCAAGCTCCTAAGATATATTTCAGATGCTTCACCAAAGTTAACCTTCATCTGAAGTTTTGCTTCTCTACAAGGAAAAAATTAAAACAAAAAAAAGACGCACATGGTCAATGTCATCTCTGTCATTTAAAGCTTGCTTGAAAGGCTATCACACAGCAGAAAGCTGACTACAGTAAAGCTTAGTGAACAGAAACAATACATTTTAAATATTAGCATTAGACCTTTCCCTGACAGGGACAATCCCTCTGCTTCATACCTGGATGCAGATAACCACACATAACCCCCCATTCTTGGGCCAGATCCAGTTAAGAGCTGGGCAGTTCCAGGGAAAGTCAGGTGCCCCAGTGGGAGAATACTATTTTATCATGCAGGGGTAGTTTTCCACCATATCAGGCAGGTAAATGTACTGCCCAGTCCAGTTGAGGCTACACAGCAGCTGGAGCTGACAGAGGGAGAGAGCAGAGAGAACCAGGAACCAGAAAGGAGAAACAAGCCATAAAATCTACTTTACTGCAATGTGTGATTGCTTGTTGCAGCATCCTGTGGACTTTTAAGCTGTTCTGCTATAAACAGCGCCACAGCTAAAAGAAGCAACCCTACTTCCTCCCTGCTGTTTCATTCCAACTCTTTCACCTTTTCACATCTCTCCAACCCAAACATCTATGTTGCAGGTTCACAAATGCACATCAGGTAATAAAAGAACAAAACTGAACAGGAAAAAAAACCAAAGTATTTTTGCAACAGGGTTTTCCTTCAACAGCTACAACCTAAATGAAACTCAAGCGACAGAAGAAATGGCACTTTTGGCAATGAACTTCCTCCTGTGCTCCAGCAAGAAATCGAGTCTGTAAATGCTAAAGCACCAGGCTTGAGCAGCTCCCTACCTCAGTCCTATATCAGAAACATGACTGAGGCTTCTAAATGCTGAAATAATTACCTCAGTTAATAAACACTCCCTCTCATTCTGTGAGCTCTCAGACAAGAACAAGAAATTCTACGGAAGTAAACTTTTAAAGGTATCTTACGTCAGCCACAAGAGATTAATTGTTTTGGCCCAGTTTCTCTTGGCACTTCCACTCAAACAAGCTCTGCGAAATGCCTCCCTGGCGAGGAAGACAACTGTTGAGTACAGCAGAGTCAGCCTAAGGGGGTGAAAAGGAAAAAAAAGAGAGAGAAAACGATTTCTTTTCTATAAATTGTAAATCCTTCATGTGGTAGCATCACAGTTTTTACACATGACTGCCTGACAGACAATTCTTACAGATGTGCAAACATAGTTATATAAGCTAAAATTATCACCATCTCCTAAAAACAGAGTAAGTAATTTCATGTGAGGATTCAAATGGCAAGAATACATGATGAAGACCAAATATGAAGATACAAAGTCTATCCTACAGGAAAAGTACATTGTATCTAGCTTTTCCTCTGCAAACCAACGCTTTAAACACAAAAACCAGGCCAGCGCTACCAGTGTTTCAGGCCAAAACAGACCTGGGGAGGGACGAAATGATCAAACACTGCGACACAGCCAACAGCAGACCGCAGAGCATTAATCAGAGCATCTCCAGTGACAGGGCACAGACCAGCACGGAGCACAAGCTGTGTCACGGAGCTCAAGCTGTGCCCCGCAGCCCCCCCAGCCCCGGGACGCCTCAGGGGCGCCCGCTGAGCCGCCTCCCCTCACCTGACATTGACCACGCCGATGAGCTCCCGGGAGAGGTAGCGCAGGGTGAAGGCGTTCAGCCCGAAGGTGATCACCCGGAACAGCACCTGTGAAAGAAGCCGCACGGGAAGCACCTGCGGCGCCCCGCCGAGCAGCAGCAGCAGGAGGAGGAGGAAAGAGGGAGGGACGGCCCCGCACCTGCAGCAGGGCGCTGGACGAGGCCAGCCGGGCGGTCTGGCCCAGCACGTCCTGCGCCGCCATCGCCCCGCTCCCGCCGCCAGGAAGTGGCGCGGCCGC